GGACTCAAGAAACAAGTTAAATAAAAGTCAAAACAAGCAAGCAGATACATTAAATAATCAATTAGTACTAGAGATGTAGAGTAGGGCTCAGGTGCAATTAAATCAGCAGACATTGTTGCTGTAGGACCGCGAATGGAAACCAAAAATACAGCGTAAAATTATAAATCTTCGTTATTTTTTAACTATAAAAAATACAATCGAAGTCACGCACAAGAAATCTGATGATTTTATGATTGTATATTGATATGCTGCTGCGTTGCTGCCCCCCTGTGGACTTTCAGAGTATTACCTTTGATGTTACGTCTCGATGCAGGTGACTTCTGAAGTTTCAAGGGCAAGCTGTGCTGATTGTCTGTGTTGGGTTTTTGCACTTCACATTTCTCCCAGTGACGTGCAGCGTTGGTGTGATTGGCTATGCTCAACTGACCCTCATCGTTTAAAGCCCTGCTCACCAACAGCCAACCAAACGTGACATGATATGTCCTCTTCCGGTTCAGCAGGATGAGGCATATAAACCAATAGAATACCTGCGTTGATCATTGATCTAGCTGCCTCCCACACAAGTGCTCTGGGAGGTGCTGGCGAGATGTCAGTCTGGCTCACTGGAGACCTCACGACATTGTCCGAAAGAGCAGGCGTGTTCACCCCAGTGTCCCGCCCAGCCGAGCCATCCTCTCCTCCTCCTTTCTCCCGAAAGCGCACCTCAGTACCTGTCTGAGCTACTCTAGTCTTGCTCCCCAGCTCTCACAGCCTTTGTTCCTCAAGGTCTGGTCTCCTATCTGTCCCCCAAGCCCATCCACACTGTAGGGGTGAAATGTCTTCTCCTGCTGCACCCCAGAGCTCTGGAATTCATTCCCCAAGGATATCAGAGAGCCACCTTCTCCAAACTCCTTCAAATCCAGACTCCAACCCTTCTTTTTCAGAAGAGCTGTTACTTAACTGAGTCTTTGCTCCTACTTAATTCCATACTCCCTTCTACCCCCTCCTCTCCTTGTATATGCCTTGCATAGATTTCACGTTTTTGTCTTTTGTGTTGCTGTTGTACTGTAAAGCACTTTAAGAAGCCTCTTGTAAAGTGCTATGTAAAAATAAAATCAATTATTATAACTAAACAATCATGATTAATTATCATTACTTTGATCATAGGACTGCAGCACCCTCCTTTGTTTTGAGCTTGAGACTTGCCCGTTGGCTGACGCTAGCTCGTAAATGACCTCTTGTACACGAGACCTTGGGCCTCCCTGTCAGAAGCGGGAACTCCTCTGGTCAACCTGTCTGGGTGAAAAGCAAGTGAGTCTGGCAGCAGCTGTGCCCTTCTGGAACTTCAGAAACTGGGATTACTTTTGTGTCGTTCGGGTCTCACCAGCTCCCAGCCCCCCTCGAAACCAAACTGATTCTCGTGCCAAGCTTCACCGACTGTTTAAGGTCTGGTGGCCCGTGTCCTGCTTCTTGTCTTGGAGTGAGCTGTGTGTTTGCTATGGGCAGGGTGTATTCTGTGCTGCTGACCTGCTACTCTACTCCTAGTAGCGAGCTGAAGTCCCAGCAGTGCACGCAGGCGCAGAGGGCTGCAGGTTTAACACCACAGAGGATTCTGCCTTTGGCAATCGGTGTTGCTTTTAATCTCCCCCTCTCCGCGTAAGAGAAGGGTTTTCTGAAATATTGATTCAACTTTTTATTTTACCAGCTAAAGCTCATGGGAACCGGACATGTATTACTGCCCGGCTTTCTTGTCCCCTCTTGCGTGTTAAATCCGGGGTCTCGCTTTTGTTAATTAATTTGCAGTGTGACAGTTTGGTCTCTGGTGCCGTGCAATATTCATGTCCCAGGTTGTCGGGACTTCGGTTGCCGAGTGCCCTGCTGCAGGGGACGCTCCTGGGGGGCTATTTCCTGTCACCACTCGCTGTTTGCCTGCCACTGGCCTCTTGCCAAACTGGCTGTTTGCGGACATCTTTTTTTCAATTCCACCGGTTATTCTGATCTGCTGAAGTGAGCGATCGCTCTGTTTTTGTCAAAATAAGATGAATGTTGCTCTGTTTTGAGGCAGGTCCTGTGTTCCCTGTATCTCCTGACTCGCAGTGGTTTTTCACTCTTTCCTGAACTGTAACGCAAACCAAGGAAGAATGAAGTGCAGGACTAGAGCAGCCTAATTGCGCTTTTTTGCCGTATTACTGCTAGGGTTGCTCTCTGTCTGGTTGCTGGGGAAGGATCATGCAGTTTTCAGGATGCTGTTTCCTTTAGAAAAATGTGCCGCACTGGAAACTCGGCTTGGCAGGGGTTGTTCCTAAATACCGTATTGTAACCCCAGGCAACTGCAGTACTGGAGATGGGGTGCCTGTTGTACGGGTGGGGGGAGAACGCAGAGCTGGTCAGGAAATGCCTGCTGCAGCAGGAGAGAGAACATACGAACAAGAGGAGGCCATTCAGCCCTTCCGTCCTGTATGGTCCTTAACAGATGACTGATCCGAGGGTGACCGTGACCCCATCAGTGAAGCCAGCGTGCGGTCTGAAAAGAGCGAGATGGCAGCAGAAGCCGTCCGCGTGGCTGTGGGCGAGGTCGCCTGCGGTGCTGATTGATAATATTGTCTGTCTCTCTCTCTCTGTGCCAGGAGGTGCTGGCAGGTGTGGTGGTGATCGTGAGCAAGGAGGCTGTGCAGCATCAAGGGATCTCTCTCTCCATGGAAGGAGTGGTCAACCTGCAGCTGAGCTCCAAGAGCGTGGGCGTCTTTGAGGCCTTCTACAACTCCGTGAAGGTCTGCACCAGCCACACACCGTGCATCCCTGACACTGCGCCACCGAGGACACGCCAACAGTCCAAAGACCGTGAGCCAGCTGTGCTCCACACAGCAAAACTGACAGCCCCCCCCACTCAGTACCGCTGCCCTCAGTTTCTCAGTCCTACAGTGGAATCAGACCATCCTTCAGTGACAGCTGCCTTTCTGGCCCTGCTGCGTTAACTATCTCTCCTTCTGTTTTGCAGCCGATCCAGCTGATCAGCGGCAACATCGAGGTAGTCAAGCCAGGAAAGGTCCCCAGCGGCAAGACGGAAATTCCATTCGAGTTTCCCCTGCATGTCAAGGGGAACAAAGTGCTGTATGAAACCTACCATGGTGTCTTCGTCAACATCCAGGTAAAGGTCACAGAGCACTGGTATGGACCTCCTGCCCCCCGTTCTGTGTTGTGCCCTGCAATGCGGACAGGAGATGATTGCATGCAAGGTGTCGTGGTAGACGCACCCGATTATGTGAACATCTTTGCTTCATCCAAAACCAAATCGGTCTTTTTGTCGCTCCTGTCATCATCTCGGCTTTACTGGAGCTGGGAATTTATGAGAACAAAGAGCACAAATTCCCGAGGGGACCCAGCATGCCGTTAGGTCACGATTCCTGTTCCCAGACGAACTGGTGGTTTAACGCACCTTGTTCAACTCATCCTAAAGGCTTACAGAAAAATCCAGGAGCTCTACCTCACTTGTGCCTCCTCTCCATAATGACATTTTCTGTCCTAGGCTGACATTATTCATCTCCCCCACTTGACAAGAAGCCAGCCTGCCTGCAAAAATACCCAGGTGCTTCCATCATATTTGCACAAACTCTGCAGTCCGACACAACCAGACGAAAAAAACGTTTCTCAGGATGTGCGTTTGAGCGCCCAGTGTTTTCACACAGGCTGCTCACAAAACACTGAGTTTATTTTCTGCTTGTTGGCCATTAAATATGGCTTTTGTTTAGTCGGCATCTGTGGAAAACAAAACCGTGATTGTGGTCCTTTTTGTAGCTAAGTTTAGATAATGAGGAATAATTATAGAGACGAGAAGCACAAATTAATTGATGTTTCCCGTTTTGGACATGTGTGGTGTCTCCTTTAGCAAAACTGAACAGAATGTTATTTAACAGTCTGGGGAAACATGTTTTCAGAGGACCAGTCTTGTCAGCATTTTATTGCGACTCAAATGCTTGCGATAATCGGAATATAATCTGGCCAGGGGAAGGTTAGAGCTCAGAAGGGCTGTGCATTTAGATATCTGAAGTAGCACACTTTGCAGTTGGACACGCAGGCTTACAATTGACTCCTTTTCAGTTAGGAAAAGGGCTTGAGCAAATGGAAAACTCCATGAAGCTATTCCTGGCCAGGTCTAGTATACGTTTTAAAGCTTGGTTTAAATATTTGTCTCGCATTTTCAGTCGGTATGTTTTGTGGTATTTTCCATGAGAGGTCAGGGATTTACAGCTGAACAACACCGACCCACGCTATGCTGTCGCTCACCAAAACAGTAGCCCACACGGTGTGTGTGGGCGAAACATTCCAGAAATAGCGGCTCTTGTGTGTCAGTGTTGCTGCTTCAGCACAGGCAGTTTTATGGGATTATAACACTGTTCTCTGGTCTGTGGAAAGCTTCTGTCCTTAAAGTAGCTTGTAACGCTTACACTGTACTAAGCAGCAGGTGATCTGAAGTGTCCGTTTTTCTCTTTTGTTTATTTTTTGTTCCACGGTGGATGAAACGCACTAGAGACCTGAAATTACTGAAGTGCGCAGCAGGTGCCCCAAAAGTATTTCTGTCCGTTGCGTGACTTTGGCAAAGCGGCTGCAAGTGTCCCATATGATGCCGTCTTTTCCTGAGCTGTTATGGATCCTGTGACAGGGCAGCGGGCCTTGTGCTACTATCTACACTCAACCATCCACCAGCTCCAAGAGCCTCCCACATGGCCATCGGCCTCTTGTCTCCGAGCCCGGTTGTGTGGGTGGTCTGGTGGGCGTCTGTCTCTCTGCCTGGAACAGGGCAGGCTCTCGGAGATCTCTGCCAGCAATTCCAGCTTTAATTACATCTCTCTTCCCTCCCTTGCTCGCTCGCAGTACCACGCACACAGCCTCCACCCTCAGCCAAGTAAAGAATGTGTGTGGGGGGGATGGCAAGGGGGGAGTGGCAGGCAGAGGTGGATAAGAAGAGGGGGGTGGGGGCTCAGCAAGGGGGGTCTTTGAGGGCAGGTGTGAAATGATGGGGGTGAGTTTAGGAAGGAGAATGAGAAGAGGGGGTGAGTGAGTTTATTTACAAGGTCTTGGTCCAGAAACTGTGTAGTCAACCTCCCACCCCCCGATTTACTTCATTGCAATAGAATGTTTGCTTTTTCTCAGTTCTGTCCCATTTTTAATGTTGAACATTTAAAAGAATAAATGCACCATTCTGCAGAGGGGGATCCGAATTTGCTCTATTACAACATTGTGGAAAATCAAGTAAGAAGCATTTTCAATTGAAAAACAAGTTGGAACACTGTAGTTTTTGAAACTCAATTAATAAAAAGGTTAATACTGATTTAGGATTTGATAAATGGCCGTGATCCCCCAGTTTCAGCCTGGCTCTGACTGGCTGCTCCTGTGTTTCTTGTTGCTGGCAGTACACTCTGCGCTGTGATATGAAGAGATCTCTGCTGGCCAAAGACCTGAGCAAGACCTGCGAGTTCATGGTTCACTCTCAGGTAATACCTGTTGCTCTACGCCACTTCTCTGTTTTCGCAGATCCTCAAGTTGGATCTCTGGTGGGATGGGTTTTTTTTTGTGTTGTTCTGTGGCCTGCCTGGTCTTATCCTCGTGTAGCATGGGTACAAATGAATGCTGGGATTAGTGATGGGAGGACGATGCCAGTTTCGGTTGGGTTCCACAAGAACGGAGAGCCTTTGATCTGAGCACGCACTGAGTCACTTTCATTGTGCTCTGAACTGCCAACTGCCCTTTCAAACTGTATCCCGTGAGCACAAGCGCCTGTGATCTCCCTTGTTGGCCCAGTGACGCATCTCGTTGGCCCTCATCCAGCCCGTTTTCACAGGTGCTCTTGTCCTTCCTTCCTTGCAATGTTAGTGTTCAAATAAAAAAAAAAAAAAACGCACGTGCTGGTGGTTGGTGCTTCTTTGCCTTGCGTGACCCAACTGTTGTCTCTCAGCCTCAGAAGGAGAAGCTCCTGCCGAGTCCAGTGGATTTCACCATCACCCCAGAGACACTGCAGAATGTCAGAGAGGTGGGTGACAGTGTGCCTGGTGGGGCTTCAGTGGACAGCTTGCTGTACTGGGTTACGGGCACACATGCACCAGCTAAAGCACTGTCTGGTGGACCTCAGATAACCTATTTGGAGAGCGTCTGAGGGTGTAGTGGAGGTCCTGTACAAATGCATTGCCGGGGTTTTACAGACTGTAGTCTGGGACGGGTACAGATCGTCATGTCCATCTCGATCGGCAGCCTGCCGGCTGGGAGTCGCTCAGCTAGTGGCCCCCAGCTGTGTGCAGAGGACTGGGCCTTCGCCACTGGCCTGAGGAGCCAGGGACGCTGTGTCTCCACTGATGGGCTCTCCATTAACCAGATGGCCTGAGGAGAGACGGCAAAACGTGGGATAGCTCCACAAACGGCTCGTTGAGCTTCTAATAGCCAATGGAGATGAAAATTGTAATGGAGCCCCTCTCTTGGAGACTTGCCCCAAGGCCCATGAATTCCCACCTTTATTCTTTTGTTTTCCCTCCGTCCTCAGAGGAGCGGCCTCCCGCGGTTCCAGATCCGGGGACGTCTGAACTCCACCAGCTGCGTGATCACCCAGCCCCTGACGGGCGAGCTGGTGGTGGAGAGCTCGGAGGTGCCCGTCAAGAGCATAGAGCTGCAGCTCGTGCGTGTGGAAACCTGCGGTGAGGGGAGGCACTCTCTGGCCCCGGAGACATTCAGACACAGCTTTATCGCAAACGGTCATCCAGGCCAACTCCAGTTTGACTTGATGCGAAGCCCTAGGGCTGGGGATTGTAGGTGTTACTCCACGCAGACAGTAGTATAGCAGTGCTGGGGAGACTGAGAGCAGAGCTGCACAAAATATTTCAGTTTACCCACAAGGCTGAGACGGACAGTAGAGAGGTCCTAGTTCCAACCCCACCGTGAGGGGGGTAGAATACAAGCCTAGTGCTTCGATGCATCGTGTGGAGCACTCTCTGTGTTTATTTTTCATCACTTTTAAGCTGAACGTGAGCAACATTTTTTGTGCGTCTTTATTGGGAAGCCGAATCGGCTAATTTCGGGTTCTGTTGCTGCTGGCAGGGTGTGCCGAGGGCTACGCGCGAGATGCCACGGAGATTCAGAATATCCAGATCGCGGAGGGCGACGTGTGTCACGGCCTCCCCATCCCCATCTACATGGTGTTTCCCCGGCTCTTCACCTGCCCCACCCTGGAAACAACCAACTTCAAAGTCGGTAAGTAAGCCACAGCTATCGCTTCCCCTCGGTCTTCAGAGCCTGTTACGAGGTTCAGTTCAAGGTCTGCAGGCATGAAACCATTCCTGACCTTTCTTTTGGCTTCTCAAGGTCTCGAAATCCCTCACTTTTCTCCTCTTGTTTTCCAGAGTTTGAAGTGAACATCGTGACCGTTCTGCACGATGACCATCTGATTACGGAGAACTTTCCTCTTAAACTGTACCGGGTCTGAGCTCTCTTGGTGGAGGAAGGAGGTTCCTATTTCATGCCTTTCGCAGCTGGGAGGTGTGTTGTCCGAGCTAGAGGAGTGTGAATGGACGCAGCCCAGGAGAGAGGAAATAAACACTGAATGCTCACATCTTGCATAGAGGAACGCATTTGGACCAATGCAATGACAGAAGATCTTGACATATCCTGGATGGATATCTCATTTTGTCAAAGCTTGATTTGTAGTTATTTTTTACAGGCATACTACAAAACATTTAATGGGGGGGGGGGGTTTAACGGTATAGGAAGGATGTAATTACAAAGTTGTGTCACTTTAATTGCAATTCTGACACTGATTAATAACTTTGCCTGCCTTGTATAGGTTCATTTAAACATGCCAAGCAAGCTTTAAGATTTAAAATATTTAGGAAATGTCAAATTCTCTCTTTCAGTCTTGCAGAGGTGGTCTTAGTTCAGTAATTGTTAATCAGGGTCTCAATGAAAGAAATGTAAGGTTGAAGAGTAAAGTATAATAAAACTCAGGAACTACAGCCTTAGGTTTCATAAACCACTAATTCAAATCAGAATAGTTGTACTTTGAAGTAAACCAGTAACAAGTACTTCATTAAATGAGGTCGTTTAAGTTATACTGTGTAAGATCCTGAATACAGAACCATTACTGAACTATTACTGACTTAGCAATTTACAAAATTAAATACAGCAACTGAACTGAAACAATAAGTATACCTAGAGTTAAGACAAGGTGTGAAAAGGCTATCCTAACCCTCAATGGTGAGTATGGTCCAGCCTGAACTTCATTAAGCTATTTGACTTGCACCGGTGTGAAATGAGGGAATTGCAGAAGGAAGTGTGTAAATTAAACTGCGTTACTTCATTTAATTGAAATTCGTGGCTTCTGCAAATGAGAGAAAGACTGTGCTATAACATGCCTTTTTTTTACAAGGAGTGTTGATTAAAATGCAATTTACACCTTGCAAATCCTCAATTCCCATCATGAAGTTCACTTGTATAAACAAGCCACAATATGACAAAGCAGAAATAAATTAATAATGTCAGTCTCAAGACGCACATGCATTTCAAGTAATGCCCATTATCTCTATGGAGCAACGAAGGTTTCCACTCCATGCAAAGTATACAAGAGAGTGAAATAAAATCAGAAGTCTGGATTGGCAAAAGGTGCAGACTTTGCTGTACTGAAATAAAAACTACTCAGGCCTGGATAACATCAAAAGTTCTCTCTGCTCATCACTAACAACCACCAAAGCTGCAATGCAAATGACGCTGGCTTCCTGATATTTGATTGCATGCAAAAACTGAAAAAGGTCTTGGACGTCATCAATGGCAGGTAGATCAATGTCTCAATTGAATGTAGATCATCCCCCTCAGCCCCAGTTTGCCAAATAAGTGTTCAAGAGTATCTGACCAGTTCTGCCCTAAAACGAAAAGGCAATGGCCAATGGCTTTAAGACATTTTAAAAGCAATTGAGAAATGGTTGACAATGTGGTATGCAATCACTATTTTGTGACAATACTACACTGGTAATATTGCATAGGTAGGGAGACAGTGTTAACAGTTGTTGACCAGTAGATAATGCTCTTACATCTAGATCAGAAACTCTAAACTAATCTGTGCTCCAGTATGGAGAACGGGGACACTATCCTGTAGGAAGTGCTGTCCTTCCGAAGTGACACTAAATTGAGGTCCTCACTACATCATTACTAAAGACTGTCTGGAAAAGTAGGTTTGTCAATCCCAATGCCCTGACTGAATTCCACTCTGGGCCAGTACAGCATGGCCTCACTAAATCTGCCCATCGTGCAGACTTTTTTCCCTTCTATATATAATATGCTTTGTATCTGTAATCTGTCACCCAAGTGCATCTCGCGCTGACGTTGTAGATGTAGTGCTACAACACTTTGGTATTAATGGCACTATATCAATGCAAGGTACAATTACAAAAAGACTGGTACATTTTCTGAAATAAGAAAATAACATGGATCAAGAGGTGTTCTACATAAAATGTCTCCCAGGTAACACATTAAAAAGTTTGCCAAAAACACAATTAACAAGACATTTAGTGTCTAAGGACCCATGCTCTTAATTATCTTTAAAAAAATAAACCATTGCATGCAGTAAATAAATCATTCCTTCTTTAACAACCTTTCAAATCTCTAGTAACACCTACTGTAACTAAACTAGACTGTTCATTTTTTACTGCTGTGACCTTAACTCTCTGAGCTCCAGGGGTATCCTGCATAGGTCACCAACTACCACATGGGAAGAATACAGCAAGAAGGACCAAACACAGAAGAAATAAGAGATGATTGTCTTAAACTTGTGAAAGGTTTTAATTTTACTGCAGCACGTTAATACTCCATTTCACCTTCCTAAGGGCATAGCTGTGGCATTTGAGAAATTCAATACAAATGACTGTATTTTCACTTCCACATACATTGCCTGTACAAAAACATTTTCAAATGATAAAAATATGCATAAATGAGGGAGGAAAGCTTCAGAGCACTACGAAGGGAGCTAACAAAGTAAACCGCTTGCAGGAAGCAGCAAGCTGATGGCGCAGAACTAGACTGATGGCAAAAAGCACATCGAAAACCTGTTCTGAATTTTAAGGTTTAAAAAAAAAAATCTCTAAAAACGATCAAACAAAAAATGAACTATTTACTCGGTTTTAAAATTTCAACCCTGCTGTGGATTCGGCGGATTCAGCCTGACGTCACTGCCCCTCCACGCTGCGTGTCCCTGGCAGTTTGCGCGTTCCCAGGCACGGATCCGTCCTGCCGGCTTCAGGAGGAGCCGGCGTGATGCATGTGGCTCTGCGGGATCCTCCCGGACAGGATGGGGAAGTCCTCGGGCAGCAGGGCGTGGACTCTGCAGGTGGGACAGGTGCTCTGTTCCTTCAGCCAAGCCTTGATGCACTGCAGAGACAAGAGAGGTCAGGCCACAGCCCCCTCCTGTGTAAGTCTGGACATGACACAACAGGCCTCACTCCTGCCCCTACCTCTCGGTGAAAGCTGTGCCGGCACTCCAGGACACACAGATCTTGCTGGGACATTTCCTCGTGACAAATGATACAAGGGTCCTCGTCGTTGAGCTGTGTGGAGGCAGGTTACAGGCTCGAAGTTAAAAAGAAATACCAGCTTTCCATTCCAGTTAGCATCGCCTGAATGAATGAGCTGTGTGTTCAACAAATGCCACAAGTTGGCTAATAAGAAGAATAGGACAAAAACAGACAACTGAAGGAAACCTCACCGCTCCGGCCCTAGACCATCTGGAATGGTTCTTGGGGTCCATGGTTCTCCAAGGGTGTGAACTTGGGGTCACGCCAGGGTCAAGGCCAGGGGCCGGAGAGCTTGATTTGGGCATCGCACCGAGAGCCGAGGTCCACGACGCATGAGGCTGGGCTCCAAGCTCTCCGAGTTTGGCCCCGGAAGCTGATCCCATCTGTTCCTGCGAAGAAGAAAAGCACTGTCGTCACAATCTGTGTTAATTCCCCTGAAACGCATTCGAAAGTCCGGAATAATTTGCTGCAGGCGCAAAACGTGGCTTATGAAGTCACATCAGCAGTTTCTCTGTAATTCTGGTTCCACGTCGGTACTGCAAAAAAAGACCTTCACAATGCATTGAGGTCATCAAAGTAATAGCCTGCACAATGAAGACAGAAACAGTGTTTCTTACTCTGGTGTTCTCCTGGTGATCTAGGATCAGCTGGGCCACTCTGTTAATGATTTCTTCATAGGACAACAAGTTCAGGCTGCCTCCATTTGCAGCGCGTGCCTCCTTAATGAATTCTGTCAGCGTTGGCCTACAATTAACCATCAATAAAAGCAATCAAGGACACTGAGGTGTTCACAAATTGCAACTTGAACTGCAACTTGAAAAAAAACTGCAATCTGCAATTAAATGCAAATGAAAAAATGCAATAACCATTAAAATACTAAGCCCTAAAAAACATCATTTTTAAGACAACTATGATTTAATTGTGTGTCATTTACCTCCTTACATAAGAGGAAACCCTAGTCTGAGAGTACCTGGTGTAATGTGGAAACATCGAGCTCAATCGTTCAATGACTTTCTCGAAGGCATTGGGTTTCTGCTGGGATGCAGCTCGAGGCCCCTGGCCAGACTGGGAAGGTGCTGGTCTGGTGTTGGTGGTATTGCTCTTGTTTGCAAGTGCAGGGCTGACAGAAGGGGAACGCCCTGCTCCTGCTGCAGAGGTCTGGCCTCTTGGCTTCCCTGAGTGGGGCTCAGCCAGGGCCGGGCCAGTGGCGGCTTTGGCAGGGCTGCTTGACCGCTGGTACACTTTCCCTGGCACCGGCAATCCAAAGGGCACTGCCCCATGGGAGAACTGAGGGATGGGCGGACTGGTCCGAGGAGCAGAATGCAAAACCTGCAGAACAGCTGGGTCGCCGATAACAGGTCCCGCTGGCAGTGCCTAGAAAAGAGAATATGACAAATACGCAAAAAGAAGCATGCTGACTAGTGGCAGCGTTACTTTGTAAACCATAATTGTCACTACTTTTTCCCTACCTGAACTACTGCACTTACTGCATGACGGCTACACTGTGCCATGCTCTCCCGACCTGCCTGCCTGTCTGAGGGAGGAAAGCCCAGCCCATGGCTTCCCTGCTGGGGAAGAGCGAGTGCCAAGCAAAGGGGCAGGAGAAAACCGCAAGACGGAAGTGCAGAACGAAGCCCTTGAATGAAACTCGGGACTCTGCTTCTGACAATCTGCTAGCTGGACAGTCCAGACTTTCATCGTCCATTAGCTTCTCAAAAAACATTCTTAAACAGAATGGAAACTTAGAAGAGCAGGGACAGCTAGCCTATGTTTTTTTTTCTGTAGAACAATTTTAAACAGGCCGGTATACTCATTTTAGGCCTGCATACCTAAAATAATTGAAGCCTGTTATTCTCAAGATCCCTACGACTTGGGAATATTTAAGGAATTCCAAGAGATACAATCAAATTATGAAATAACTCACAGGTTTCTAAATTAGTATGGAATGTAATATAATGATAATAACATTATTACATTATATTTATATATGAATAACTTAATATAATATAATTGAACTGTAATGTTTATTAAAACTGGTCAGACATCTACCAATTTACAAACTAGAAAAAAAATATTCAAAGGATCTAAAGGCAGCTTTAAAAAATAAAATGAGATGGAACCCCACCGTATGAGGAGGTACCCAAGTGAAATCACTAGATGGCAGCATGGTATAAGGAAGTACAAAGTTCCTGTCAGAAATGAAGCCTGATACTAAATGAGGAACTAAAAAAATGCACACTGTCAGGCACCTGTTTAGTATCCCCAGTTTTACATCAAGCCTTGACCATCAACGATTTCTAATGACTTGCAACATTCAGATCTATTGTCTGTAAATCACATTTTTTATACTTAGAATCGCAGAAAATGTAAACAAAAACACAGATTAAAGAACAATGGTTCATGTTTGTTATGAAGACGTGCACTAGTACAAGTGTTTAGTATCGGGTATGATCTGCCTAAGCATACTGGAAGTGGCATCTTGACAGCAGTGCCAGTCAGCCCTTACAGTCGCTGGCCTGACTGCTGTAGCATAATCTGCCGATTCTCCTGTGTATCTGCAGCCACCTGCTGGAGGCTGGCTGGTCAGACTTGTCGCATTGGAACATCAATCACTACTGGATTGGCTTGCAATGGGATGAAAATCGGCTCGTTCAGGGATTGTGGAAGTGCATCGCTCACTGAACAGCACAGCTGCCCTCTATCTGCATCAAAGGTGTTGCTTTCCTTGGCCATGAAGGCGATTTCTCCCCACATTGTCTTCAACGATCAATATAATGGTATATTCTGTCTTTGTCAGCCAAAACAGCATTCATTCCCGAAAAAGACACTCCCACATTCTCTCTGCCACCACTTCCCATGTTCTCTGACCCACAGAAGATGAGTTTCCTGCGGTCAATATGTCACCTCTGACCAGCCTCTGAGCACTCTACAGTGCTCTACAGTCATTCTGCCGATACATTATTTTTTTCTTGTAATCCCTTTGTGCTGCGGGCACTAACAGTGTAAAAAGTATTACACAGGTGGATAAAATGGATAGGATCATCCAGAGCTGGTATTGGTGAGCCTTTGCCTTCCAGGAATATTATTCCATATTTGGAATATACAGTATACAAACAGTATTGACAACACTTTGTCTATCCATAAAGTTGATTCCCTGAAATAAAATCCATGATGGCAAAACACAGCATAATAATAATTCAGTAAAGGAAGCAAGATGGGTGAAGAAATGCTTTTAAAATTGATATATATATAAATCTGTCTCTTTTTAAAAACAGCAGTCAAACCCTGCGCTTCACATTAAGCAGAAAAGCTACAGGTTTGAAGACTTACCGGAAGCACGGGGGCCGGAAGAGGACTGGGGACGTTCACAGGCGCCAGACTTGTTAACCGTGTACCCATCTTCACGAGCTCGATTTGTTCTTTGTACTGGCCCTGCATAGGATTTAGGCAAAACAAAAAATAAAGCCTGAATACACGTTCTAATGAAATGGAAATGTGCCCCTCTCTTCACAGGTTGGCCCAGAGGACACTGGTATTTCTGGCTAAGCACTCGCCGGCAACAGAGCAAAACAGGTTTCCTCCTTGCCGTCTCCCACGCGTGTACAGCCCGACAGACTCACTTCTATTTTTCGGATCTTCTCCTTGGCATCCAGCACGTGGGCCTGCCAGGCGTCCATCACTGGGATGAAGAAGGCTGGAGGGGGGACCCTGGGAGGAAAGCAGAGCAGTGTTGACGCAAGCGGGCGACTTCACACCAGCTGCTGCTACACCGAGACCTACAGGATGGTTCTACTGTGGGTCAACGCGGGTTGCCGTTTTGGACCAACACCGATGGAGAACTGTAAAACACGCTGGGATAGCAGTAGTGCTCCATTCCCTAGATACATAACCAAATTTCCCCCCCCGAGGCACCACCACACACCGCAACGCTGACTTAGACCTGGGGTCCACTTCAGCTTCACTAGCTTATCTTCTTACAGTTATGGCCCATTTGTGTGGGTCCAACAGTACCACATGTAAGTACCTTTGATTCTGATTGTGAATCAAGAGGAAACAAAGAACTGTAGGCCCCACAGCAGCTTTAGACAACACGTAATCACATTTCGGTAGCAGAATTCTAGTTTAAATAAAGGCAAGGGATGGCTAATCATAAGAGGTCTATACAAAAGCCGAAGCCAGTGGAAGAACTGAACCCTTCTTACACAGCTGCTATTTGCTTCAGCTTCGCAAGAACGGACTCTCCTTCTGAAACGCACTTCTGGAGGTTACGGAGGCTGGCTTTGCACTTGTTCTCCAGCAGACAGATCTACAGGAACAAAGAAGCAAACCTTTTTTTATTATTATCACAAAAAAGCAGAGCAGGAATGCAACTGTTTTTAATAGAATTGGCTTTTATTTGTCATAACTATCCTGGTCTTGGAATTACGGGAGATCCAAAAGCAAAAATTTCTTTTAAACTATATTGAGACACAGGAGAGGATAAATGAAACGCCTAACGATAACAGTGGACTACAAGATATACTTCACCTCTGCAGCTTGTGATCTTTTCACTGCCTCTGCATGCATATCCTTGCTCTTCTTGATAACTTCTTCCAAGCTCATCTTCTCAGCAGCTGACTGGTTGCTGTAAATGACAATAAGACCATTGTATTATAATACATTTAGAACCGAGAAAAGGAGACGCTCTTTGGGAGCGTGGAACAGGATACCCTGGCTCCCCTTAAGAATCAGCAGGATGAGATCCGCAGATCAATTAGCTACTACCAAACAGGCTTGATAGGCCGAGTGGCTTGTTCTTGCTTTTAAATGTTCCTGGGAGATTGTGAATACTTGTGTGCAAACTGTAATGGTGACCAAATGTGCAGTATTTTATTTTTTGTGAATTGAAGTCTTCATAGTACTGTACTGATATTGAGGGCTGACACCTGTAATTCATCCCAAAAGAGCACCTTGAAAAACACCCAACCACAGCAAAGACAGAATCTGTCTTAATCTTAATTCCATACTTAAAGATAAGCATTTTTAAATACCTGAATTCAGTCTCTAAAATATACTAATATATTAATTGTTTCTGTGCACTTAACACCTAGTTATGGCTGGAGAAAATCTCCACTGAACATTTAGGAGGTTGATAAGTAAATCCAGAACTGTAATCAAGGTGAATTCTGACCATTGTGAACTGCTTTGTTGCTCAGGGATACTTGCCTTAGGTCTAGGAAGTCATTAAGGTGTTTATTATATTCCTTCTTCTTCTCCTTAATGTTTTTTAAGCAGCTGAGAAAAGAAAATAATTTGTTTTTTAAAAAAGTCAAATGTTCACTTCAGCTTCACTTTAAAATGTGCATCACAGACACCTTAACTTATATTCATTGGTTAAAAAAAGGGGGAAAAACATTTTCCACTATGTGCAATGAATGGATCAATAATTGGCAAAAGTTCAAAATTTCAAGTTTTAACAAAGGAACTCCACTACTCACATCTCATTAGATTCAGTAAGTTCTTTGATTTGATTTTTAAGGGCCTTTAATGTTTCCTGATTTTCCTTTTTTTCCTGTTGATCTTTCTTCACCTCCTCTTCTAACTTCTGTTGGAATAACTCCAATTCTTTATTTGCAATCTGCACAGGAATAATGCAAAACAACAAAAGCAGATAATTTCAATCAATCAATCAATACATTGTTAATACTCTCAAATGACCTCACTTAGAATTTTGGGCATGATGTTCCACAAAAAGTATTGCTGCTTTGGAATGAAGTCAGAAGAGACCAGATACATCCCCAAATTGAAAGAAACCAAAAGGTTTAAAGGCTTCGAGTCAGAGGTGATTATGATGGGAGCAGGTTCGAGCATTCAAAATCTTCAAAGACGAAGTCAAATGACAAAATTAAGTCCACAATCTTCTTCTGAATGAGAAAAAAAAACAGAGGACTTAAGTGGAAACTATGTGGGAGTGCTTTAAAAACCGAGAGCAGAAATCATGTCTTTAGCAAAGAGTTGAGAGACTATGGAACAGACTACCCAGTCATGTTGCAGAAACCAGTACCAAGGCTTCATTCAGAAACTGGCTAGATGAAGACCTTGGATCAGTTAGCTACTAACGTCCAAACAGACTAGATGGTCTGCATGATCTCCTTTCATTTGTAGCTGCTCTTATTTTCTTTAAGAAAAATGAAAAACAAAATCACAATGTCTTGATCGAGAAGCACCTTCTACAAATCCATTGTTCATTGCCAGGCAGAGATGCCAATCAATTAAATAATAAAACAAATACAAATACAATACAAAATACAGTCCATGACTTGTTTTAATTTCTGCAACAATTTCTGCAACACTCTGTACAAAGAATCCGAACCAAAAATTCCGGATTGATTTGAAACAAGGTTGATAAATCAATAAAACATTCAAGTCAATAATTTTGTACCTCTATATTCTGATTTATTTCTTTTAACTCTTCTTCCAGGGAAGTAATTTCTTCTTTTTTCATTCGCTGGTTTTCTTCAATTCCTTTTTCAATTTGTTTCAGTTGTTTTTCTAAATCTATGTTATCCTTTTCTTTTAGGATTAGATCACCCTGAAACCAAACAAAATAAAATAAAATACAAAGGCCTTAAGTCATACTACGTCAGCATGTGTAGGCTGCAAAGGAACAAGTAAAGATTGTTTCATGCTAAAAGGTAAAGAAAAGAAACAACGTTTCTTCTTTGACACTCAAAGAAGGCTTCACACCCGAAACGTTGCGTTTTTTTTCTCCTCATTTCAGCATGGAATTAACCTTTACGAATTCCTTTAAAACATTTCTAGACATCTTTTGGTCGGCAAGACCTTTTAAGCACTAAAGTAGATCTCGGAAACTCTTACCTTATTTTTTTCAAATGGTTTGTAAGGTTCTGTATTAACTGCAACCTCATCCATGGGTTCCCAAAGCACCTACACAGGGAAAGAAACGTTTTAAACACAATAAGTGCACAGACGTACAAATGTTTGGCAATGAAATATTTAGAAAGGAACCAAAATACAGAATAAGAGAAATAAGATATTGCCATGTTAAATCATGTATCGTACCTGCCCTCCCTGCACATGACATCAGATCAACTTACGCCTAATTGCTACATCAAACTTAAAAGCAATCACTGAGAACAAGAAAATGTAATTTATTCTGTTGTCTGGGACCTTTAAACTGCTATGCCAAGACGTGGTGCATGTTTAAGGAGCTCAAAGGGTAGGCATGCTTCCTCACCTGTACATATACTGACTTTTTCAAAACCGTTTTAGTATCTTCAGTGGTCTTCATAGGGCATCTAAGTTCCAGTTTTACATGGTGTGGTTGAATACCTTCGTTATTAATATCAGAATTAAAGACATATTGGTGTGACAATGCATCGTTAGGTGGGCTATGGTAAGGAGCTGAATACTCCGCAATAGTTTCTGACGCTTTTGTCCTTTCAGGATCAAACACTCTATTAGATCTTTCAATACCAATACTACTATTTAAAGGACCAGCAATAATTACATCTGAATTAGGAGCAATTTCACAATGTACATGAGGAGGAATATAAGGCACAAAAAGGTCTGATTGATCTGAAAACATGGTTGATTCAGGTGCTGAATATACAGGAGCAGGGGTTAATCCTGAATAGCTATAATGGTTGGTCTGGATCAAAGGAAGTGTCCCATCTGGCAGGTGTTCATGATCTGACAGCAGTGGAGTCTCTGAGGATACCGTCATATCTGCATTAAGACAATATATAGGTTTAAATTCTTTAGCAGCGGGATTAAGCTGCGCTTTCTTCTGGCTATGGCCCTCCCTGTCCCTCTTCTGAAGGTCGACACACCACTCATTTCTGGCGGGAGGCTGCTCGTCGGCTGGCCCCGCGCCCCGAAGGCAGACGGCGTGCTTCATCAGCCCAATGAGGTTGTCCACCAGGACGAATCTCAGCGAGCCCAGCAGGAAGGATTTCAGGCCGCCCGCCTCCTCGATCTTCCGCTGTGCCTCGGGGGGGAAGTTCTCAAACTCGCCGACCAGCAGGGGGTTATCCGCCTCCATGGGCCCGTGCTCTTCCAGCACCTGGGCAAAATAGCTGTGGGCAAGCAGAGCCTGGGTAAGTTGTTTTGTATGAACAGGGCATTTATACAGTAGCTGACTTCACTATATAGGTTCACATCTCACTCAAGTGTATTAAGATCCTTGCAATTAAACCATTTCCAGTAAATATCCTTTATGTTGGCCCTGATTTCCCTCAGCGCCTTCCCACTTGTCCTTATATGAGCTTTAATTATGTTGCAGTGGGCTAAATACCCTCTTGTGAGGCACTATAATGCTTAGAATAAATTTACAATACATTTAAATTTCACAGCATTGTGAAATTTGTGAGAATTTAAATTTCACAGTATTTCAAAGCGGTCAGTAATTTCTTTGTGTGAAGAAACTGACCGCATTGCACTGAGATTTTACTAAAGGACCGTGATGTATTCAATTCAGCACAGCAGCTCTTAAAGCTACTGTACAATTTAACGGTAGTTGAAAGGATATTTAGAGGACGCACCTTGTGCACACAGAAAACCACTATCTACAAATCACACTGTGATTAAATATGATAAATTAAATCATGAGTCTTGAAAATGAAATGAACATGACTAAGGGAAACCTCAACAAATACCAAAAAAAAAAAGACAGATATGAAACAGTCTTCTACTTGTGGGTCTACAGTAGTAGTTTACCTCAAGAAATGGGGTTGCAAAGCCCAGTTCTGCTTAAGCAATCAGTCCTGGTTAATTGTATAAAATTCCAAGAAAAACAGATTATATGCAAAAATGGGATTTATAATGTATATTGTAAATAACATACATACACATACCACCACACACCACTAATATAAGAAGAACCATTTTGTTACTGCAGTTGACACAGCACGACAGTTACCATTAAATGCGCTAAATCAAAGCTGAAGTGACTTTAGAGTGATTTGCATTTGCAGAACAGATAAATGCAAATATTAACGTAAACAAAACGAGAATGTTTTCCATTAAGTCTTAATGGTGACACATACCATTTGGGCCCACAGAGAAAATACTTTTCAAAACTGAATTGCAGAGCTAAACATTTCTTCAAATGCATTACAAGTGATTAGAGAAATGTATTAAAAATCCATTCATACAAAATCTGCATTTAGTAGATTTTGTATGAATAGGAATATATATATACAGTATATAAGCACTTACTCATACAGACTCTCTCGAGTAGGGTCTGGATTATTGTCCAAAGCTCTTCTATAAAAACTACTGCCAGGTTGATAGTCATAATGTCCTTCAAATTCTTCTACTTGACTCCGAAGGTGCGTAGGGATTATAAAAGGATCATAGGAGTCGAAAAGCATTCTGTGGAGAAAACCAACTTAGTATTTTTCTTGTTTGCAGCAGAATTCAACAACATGGTGTTGCATTTTCAGCTATAGGTACCATTTAGTGCCCAACACAGGAGACCCACCTGCTCTACAGAACCACAGCCATGTGAACTGGGAAGCAAGAATAATAAATTCAGCTGCTTGCATGATGGTTTGCTCAGGACAGGCCAAGATGAGGAGAGTAAAGGTCTTAAATTGACGTTTAACTTAAAAATCATTATGGGACAACTTACCATAAAGCAGGGAATATCAAGCAGTTTAAATGAGAGCTGAGTAAGAGGAGTTTAATGAAGATCATTATTTTACTGGAACTGTAAGGCCAGCCACGTGCTCAAAGAGCTGATATAACCCAAATAACATGATAAACTCTACTTGTGATGGCTTCTGGAATGTCCCAATAGTGTCAGAAACCCAGACTTACAAAGTATCTGCCTCAGTGAAAATGTCTTCTTCGTCTTCCTCTTCTCTGTAAACCCCACTCCTAATTCCAGAAAGAACATAGACAGTCTGGAAGAAAAGATACAAAGTTAGTTAACAGTGGGATGGGCTCAGTAAGCGTTATGTTTTTGAGATTTTAAATGCTTTTAGATGCATTACAGCATCTAAGCTAACAGCCACTTTTGAAGGCATATTTTCTGCAAGGCTAGAGAACATGACACAGAATGGCTGTCTGGCTTACCTTTGGAGATTCCTTGTGCTTCTTTTTCCGATTTCTGTTTTTAGGCTTTATAGCACAATTCTGGAATGCAGAAGAAAGAATCTCTTCAATTTCCATGTGGCTGTATAATGTTTGAATCACACATGAAGGACAAGATCTATAAGAGTATGATCCTGGAATTTCTTTCAGATAAAATGAAGACAAACTAAGGAGCATGCCTCAGATGGTAACCTTTCCCTTGCCCGCAACTCAATACATATATGGACAAAAGTATCTCTAATGCCATAAATGAAGAATATCAAATACTCTCTTCAGTAAGATAACTCATACAAGACTGATTCTGAAATTTAAAAAAAACATAACTAATACTTACAGATAGGTTTTCATTTTCAGATTTTTTTATCACAACGCAAATCCCATCTGAAAAAAAAAAAAGATAAGGAAATATATTTTTTTTGTGTTTTAAAAATCAGTAAGACTCAGACTTTAAATGGAAAAAAATATATATAAGCAATCTCTCAGTTCATGAATCCAGCAAGAACAAAGTTCAGTTCTAAGAGAACGTCTTAAGAGCTATCAACCATTACTTGAATACTACAAGAATATCAGGAAAGCCCTCCCATTACTTGGAGATTTACAGTACTTTAAGAACACTTGGCATCATAAAGGCCAAGAGACAGGTATATTGAAAGTGTGTGCCAATATTTACCCTTTATATCAAAATATTCATCCAATGCATGCTGGAAAGATGGAAATTGTTCTCTGTTCTGTTCTAGAGTCCAAATAAAAAGGCGCATTTCCTCGGGTGGGGCCTGTTTGAAATAATCTGTAATAGTGAAGCCAGGGCTGCTAAAAAACTCGGGCATGGTGCCGAACTTCTGAATGAGGACGTCTTGGAGTGGCGGGAAGCTCAACAGAGGGCTGAGATCCAGCTCCTCCAGATACTCAGAGTACTGGTCAAGGAAATCCTTCGCAGCCTTCAAACCTGCCAGGGACAAGGAGAGGGGTATGTTCAGTTCATATTGTAAAAATAATAGATATATTTCAATATTGCATTAAATACAGCCCACTCCCAACTTAGCGCTCTCAACTTAAGTGGTCGTCTCCGGAAAATAAAATTGAAAAAATGCTTAATTCTCTGAAAAATTAATGAGGCACACCTTCGAGAGCTAGTGAGCCAATAAAACGGTGTTATTTACTTTTATTTACTGTTTTGATACTTACATTTAATATTTTGTATTACCTTAAGAAGCTAGTAGGGTTATTTTTGTAAGCAAAGGTAAGATTTGACTATATGTGAATTTGGCTTTACATACTACTCAAAATCCCTAGCCCCCACATACGTTACGAGCCAACTGTAACACTGAAATATTAAAGATGTCAAGAGCTTGATTTTAAATACCGGTATGAACACCGATCAAGACGAACAGAGCCTCATAGAAAAAAACGATTTCAGAGAAAACTGGTCTTACTGGGTCACTCTAAAGATCTGTCAGTGAACTAAGAAATGGGAAAAGGTTAACGACATCACAGCCGAAGTTAAAATTAAGATCAGGTTTTATGAACCTCAAGAGCGAGAAAAGAGCCCCACCTGCATTATTCAGCCTGTGGGCCCAGTCGTGCTGTTTTGGGCTGATGCCTGGACTTTGAGTCAGTGCCTCAATAAACACTCTGGCCCACACCCTGTTCTTCGTTTCCAGCAGTAGGTCCACAATGTCTCCCAGTGTTTCAGGCTCTTCTAGACCATGCGCTGAGATGATGTTGCCTTTCTCCCTTTCAATTGCTATCCAAGGTCGGATATGCTCCACCAAGACATCCAGGGATTTTTCTTCTTCTAAAAGCTGTTTGTTTTCGCTTATCTGCTGTAGTATGCAGTCCCCAATCATCATCCTCTTCTGAGGAGCTGCTGAAGAGTTACAAGCAAAACATAACTGGTGGCAAACATCCTAATTACCAGTAATTATCTGTTACTTTAATAAAATGAATCTTATAATGGTTAGATCCTGCTAAAGGACGTGCACTTGCAGTGAGTGCAGTTTTGCCAAACCTACACAGTGATGATACAAGACTGCAGATTAATCTCCCCTGTAAACCAGACCTTTCTGCTGAGCACTGCTTATAAAATGAAATATTGACTGTGTTAACCACAGGTTTTTATGTTTCCTCAGATGGAATAATACATCCTAATGAGAATTCTGTGTAATTTCAATTAATAAAAGAATTAATAATAATAATAATACCTATAAAAATACCTTACAAGTTCAGAAGCACCTTAATACTGTATGTATTAGAAGATACATAGCATTTCCAGGAATATACCACCTCAATATGAATCTCTTTAAAAGAAGCATTAATGTTTCTTCTTACTGGACATGGAAAAAGCACACATCTCAGTTAAGATGAGAGGGCCCACATGGGGTACCTTTGCTCTGGGATTCCTGCTCACTCCCATCACTCTTCACTGGCGAGTCCTCCAGGTTCTCTTTAATGGCCTCAGATGCCGCCTTTCTCTGCTGCTTTCGTCTGAACTTGCGATCTTCTTTAGATTTCATCTTCCTCTGGCTGAAAAGCAAATCACGTTTTAAATCGTGGAATGAGTTTCATTACAGGACATGAATGTTTCTAGGATGCCTGAAATAAGAAGGATGTTTTCATGTTGTGCAGGCAATGAAACGGGTAAAAAAGCCACAGCACTGTTTTTCAATTGTCAGTGCAGACAAGCCTATCAAGTACATATGACAAAAATACTGAAGTATGCACCTTACCTTGTACATTTCTGTTTGATAACCGATTTTCCAGAAACTGTGCTTTTTTGAACAGAAGACTCAAACTAGAAGATAAAAAAAACAGATTTTTGTTCCAAAGCTTCATTGCTTTAAAAACCTTGACACTGCATGTGTCCAAGACTGAATAAGCAAGTCAATAGTTCTGGACAATTTTTCCAGCCTGAGGCTTTAAAAAACAGAACCAGAAAACTTGAGCAGCTCTTTAAAAACCAAAAGCCGTACCTCACATTTAATTAAGCCGTTTGAGCCATAGATAATGATTCTGGAAATTTTTCCACCACAATCAGGTGTGAAACACGTATCTTGTAGAAAATCCTGTGGGGTGAAAAACAATATTCAGTGCAAATGGAAGACAGTAAAACTGGACCTCTTTCTAGTGGTGAAAAGGAGTTTACTTTAAATCTCACAGAGCAGGCAGGAAGGCCCATAAAGGGGCAGCTCATGACTGTTCTGATTTGTTTTTCCATCATCTGCTCAGGACCATGGACAGATTTCCCACAGTGAACAACTAAGTAATCATTACTTGATTTCAGTATTAAAGTATACTTAACTTCTGGGAAAAAAACCCAGATTAATTTCTGCCCTAAAGAACTGGACCTCCCAGTCTTCTTTTAGAAACTACTTTTCTTTTTTCCCGTCTATGCAAAAGAAAGTGTTTCTTCTTTCTTTGCCATTGGTCCTTACCTTATCATTTTTTTCATTGTACAATACAGCCTTCATTTTCTTCCAGCAGTTAATGTGATACTCCACACTACACATCTGGCAACACATCATTCTGATGAAACCCTGGAATGGTAACAGACCTTAGTTCAGTGACATATCAGACAACCTGCTTGTCAAAGCCTTAATCATTACGCAAATGTTGTGTAAAGATACCAGCAGGATTTAGTGAAAGGATTTACCTTAAAATCTGGATCTGTGAAGTAGATCTGAATTTTTGAATGACTCAAGCACTGCTGACAGCAACAGACAGCATCAGGCTTAGGAGGAAACTTGCAAACCTCTATAGCTTTCTCCAAAACATCCTAGATAACAGAGAAAGCAAATTCAAAACTGAAATAACGTATGGAAAATTATCTCAGCACTTCCAAAAACATGAAGAGGAAAGGATTCCATACAGCAGACAGATGAGCAGGATTGCAAAATGTTGATGTACAAAGAAGAATCAGAATACTTTAAATGTATATTTTTAAAAACTGCCGAGTTCTCTGGTGTTCTCACTTTGTTTCAAAACCATCTCCTGAGAACATGAAAAACCCTGCTTCTTTACACTTTATTAAGGCTTCACTGTTTCTTTATTCAATCTTGTGCACACCTGTAACCGTAGGATAAATTTGGGTGTAATTATGGACAGCAATGTCAATTACAAAGCTTCTCACCTTTAAATAGTCTGTCTGAGTTTCTTTTACAATAACTGTAGTTGTTGGCCAGGTTTGTTTTCCAGGTGTGATCTGATGCTTTATCATGATTAAAGAGTCATTAAATTTGGCCAGAGCTTCTGAAAACCTGAAAAACAAAAGATAAAAGTCCCACCTCTTAACTGTGTACCTCACATTTTGCCAAAATCTCGACACCAGAGTTATAATAATAATAATCCTTGCACTAATATAGCACTTCTGGACACTCCATTCAAAGTGCTTTACAAGTAATGGGGAATCCCCATGAAATTGAAATCTAATAAGTAATTTTTTTTCTTAAAATGTAGAAAGCTTTAGAAAAATATATAACAAGGATGTAACTGCTGTGCTACATGCAGATTTTTAGAAGACAGTGTGTCAACAAAGTACGCACTGTCTAGGTTACTTTTAGAAGACAGTGTATCAACACAGTATGTACTGTCTGGGTTATTAGATTAGCCGAAGGCAACTGATAAGCTCTGCAAAAAATATATTGGTGCTTCTTCTTTCGTTTTTATGATGTAATTTGTTTTGTCCTAAGGAAAGGAGAACTACAGTATTAAAAGGGACAAAGTGCTGAACTTTCCCTTGCATTGCATAGCACCCAACTCGTCAAGGGCACAGGATGTTTTAATCATGTTTATCTCTGCTGCTTGAAGAAGGGAGTAGAAACTATTTGAACAATTGCTCTTCTTTGCTAAAAGCAAAAACCTATAAGTAATGGAAAATTACTGCTTTGCCTGTCCTTGAAGTGTTGCACCATCTTAAAAAAAGATATAAAACAAGGGCTCTCCCTGCTTGCTTTTGAATCAGCTTTCACTTCTCTTCACAGACGGGGTGATGGCTTCTTTCCATATTGCAATATGAATAATGACCTTACTGAGTGAATGAGAATACCTCTCCTGGCTCTGCTTCGATAAAATTCCACGACACCCACCATCACCAATGCACTCCAAAATGCACCATTACGCTCAGCTATCAGTGGGGAGGATAACAGATGAATGAAGCCAGTTCACAGATGGGTAATTATTCAGAGGCCATGATCGGTAAAGGTCAGAAGAAATTTGTCCAGGACACCAGAGTAACACCCCTACTCTTTTCGAGAAACACCCTGGGATTTTTAGCCATGGAGAGGACCTCGGTTTTACATCTCATTTGAAAAACGGCACCTTTTTAACAGTATATTGTCCCCATCACTAGAGAAAAAATTGGTCTGCTTCTTAAAGAAAGCCATTACAGTATGTCCGCACCTGTTTTGCCTGAGGTACACTTTCCCAATGCCATAATACACCACACAGTGGAAGCGTCTCACATCCTTAAAATCAGATTCAATTCTGTACAGCTCGGCTTCCGCTTCAGCAAGCTCCTGAGGAGACAACAAAGGAAGGTGAAAAGGTGGCTGGTCGATATATTTGTGAGAAACGAAGTGCGTGGCACTTCTCAATGGCTGTGATGGCTGAGAGGTGAAGGCGGTGGACAAGAAATCTAAGAGGTTTTTCCCACGCAGATCAATCTCTTACCTCCTTTTGAGCCTCTAGCTTCCTGTAAACCTTATGCGCTCTGTTCTGCCCAAGCAGAATTAAAGCAATTTCAAACTTCATAATACAGGCACATGCTGAAATGCTATTCCTTTTCACAACAGCCTTTCCTTCCAATGTATTTACTGAAAGGATGACAATGTATGTTGCTACTTTATGTCCCACTTTTCCAATTATCGTCCTATCTTTCTGGGTACACCAAGTGCACATTTCTTTCTCGCACTGCAGGGTTACTTGACAAAGTGACAGCAGACACCTGCAAGTGCAAGTCATCCAGGATGAACAGTAGACCCCCTAAAAGGGGAGAAGGGAGGCTTACCTCAGGCTGACCGATTTCCTGAAGGGCAGCAGCATGACCATATATGAGTATTACATGGTCAAGAGATGACAGACTTAGGTCCTGGAAGTTAAAAAAAAATACCTTTAAGTAACAGGCATGGCTCCAGGATGTGATAATACAAGCTAATTAATTTTTATACCAGACACCTCTTATATAAACGTATAGTGTGACCGTAGCTTCATTAAAAGCACAAGGACCCAAAGAGACAAGTGGAATGAACTTGAGGGCCACTTAAGATCCCAAACCAGAGATATTTCTTTACACAGTACTGTAGGCATCTGTAATCAAATCCCAAAGTCTTACAGTTGAAGCTGACTAAGTGGGAGCCTTTAAGAAAGGGACAGAAAGAATTCTTGAAATATTAAGCTACAAGCAACCAAACTAGCAAGATGAGTGGAATGACCTTTTTATAATAAAACCTAACCGCGTGCATAAGTTCAGAAAATAAAATACATACACCAAAAAGTGATTTTAAAATTCTCACCTCTAACTTTTGTAGCTGCTAGGTAAGCCACAAAGAATGTATATGCATAGTTAAACTAGTAATACCGGGCACAAATAATGTACATTTAAATGTTTTACTTGAACACTGATCTACCACGTATATAAGGAGAAGAGAAATAGAATTCCCCAATTAACCCAGATGAAAGGTTTGTGAGAAGGTGAAAAGAAAGTGAAAACACAACAGCGCAATGCTTAATCCACAGTACGTGGTGAACATATTTTTTTATGCCAGATTACAGACTAGCTAATGTCCACAGATAACGCCAGTAGACCTTTCTCCATAAAGTCTCCATTTTTAACTCTACTCAAGCACAGCAAGGTGAGGTAATGTTTCTTGCATCATCGTATCCACCCATATTACAAAGAAATCGTGACTTTATGGAACACTGGAACCAGGATGTAGCCTCTGGGTGGAGAACCACATTCTTCATACACACAATCTCGGATTTAACCCTTGGGTCTGCAATTTAATCAATTGGAGGCCTTAAAGTTGTAGAGCACTGGCACTTTTAGAATGACATAAATTTGTACGGGCAACTGCTAGCTGAAAATGAAAGGTAGGCAGCTATGCATTCAATTATAAATCAGGATTAGAGACAGCACTGAAAACGTAATAGGACACAGTAGTTTCACAGGAAGTTCAAAATTTGAAATATGTAGATATGTTAAAAACTGAACTGAAAAGGAAGATGAAATATTTCATTAGAGAGGTAGAACTAAAACTTGTACAGTGCATAATATTCTTAAATTACTTATTTTAAATATATTCTTGATGGTCAGAATTAGATTTTATTGATGTCTCATGGTGTAAATTAAAAACTGCGGAAAATTAAACATTTCTTTTCACGTTAAACACTTTCTTCAAAGTTGTCTGTTAATTCCAGGGCTAATTACTCAAGTTAACTACTTATATCAGTTGTAATTATTGTACATGCCTTTGAAAACAATACTGTCTGATGTCGCATATTAATTCAATAACTGGCAAAAATATATTTGCAAACGTGCACATTTCACAGTACAATGCAGGACTAAAATCACTTGCCAAACTCAAGTCTGAAAGGGACGTCACATGATGACCAAATAAACACGGAAACTGTGTAACTCGAATCCATAATGGATCTTGAAAACAAAACAAAGGCACAAAAAGGTTTGGCAAAGGCGTGTGGGCGGACCGGTGGCTCTCTGGCTCAGGATCTGCGCCTGTGACTGGAAGGTTGCCGGTTCAAATCCCGCGGCCGGCAGAGGAATCCTACTCCGTTGGGCCCCTGAGCAAGGCCCTTCACCCCAACTGCTCCAGGGGCGCCGTACAGTGGCAGACCCTGCGCTCTGACCCCCAGCTTCTTTCCCTGTCTGTGCGTCTGTGTCTCCATGGAGAAAAGCTGGGGTATGTGAAAAGACTAATTCCTAATGCAAGAAATCGAATAGGGCTAATCAAGAAACATTATCACATTATCCTCTTACCTTTAACATGGTGCTGTCCAGGAGGCACAGCGCTTGAGAAAAGGCCTGCTGAGCATTGCGCCAGCGCTGGTCAGCCATGGCCGTGTGGGCATCCTGCACCAGGGACCTCAGCTTGTCTTGGATACCTCTGTACGCGAGTTCTGACAACAGCTACAGACACACAGAACAGGGTGGGGGAAATGACCCTATGGCTTGGCACACATCTGGGTCCTTTTTTCTTCTTTACAAGATAAGGGCTGGTAATACCAGTCCTCAAGTTGTAATACAGTTTCTCACAAATTAGTTTCGGCCCTATGAAAACCGGGCCTTCTATTTTTTTTTAAAACCAAACATTAGTTAGTCGGGCTTCTCTTGATAACCAGTGAAAAATCAAATCAGTGTTGTTCTAACGATTAACTCTAGGCTGAAATTGTTTCTTGTAGTCTTGAATTGAAATGGTTTCTGTATACTAATTTTAGTTGAAACAGCAACTTTCAAAATTCTAAAAAAGTTGGTTAAGAGTAACTGAAGCTTTGGGGTTTAAATTATGATTTTTTTTCCAGCTTTTACAGACTCAGATTCTAAATGTTTTTTACCTTTTCCTGAGGGTGCTGGTTTTTGCCTTTCATCTTTTGCTTGTCTGGAGTGTGCGCATCTATTTTTTGTTTTTTAATTCCCGGCATTTCCCTAAAGAATAGAAGAACAGATGGTTATCCATTTTTTTTTCTCTGCGAGATGGATGTTTAACCACAGGAACTGGTTATTCCAGAAACACTGCCCCACAGAGCTCTTGCTCCAGTCTAGAAATGATTCTCGTGTTGTTTCCACTCTCAGTGTGCACTTAAAAGACAGCACTTCTACATAACTCTACTGCAACTCTGCACTGAGAAAGCAGCTTTTTATCATAATAATCTTATAGAATCTTGCTTCACCATGAACATAAAAATAAAAACAGTAAACAAGCTGTATTCGGCAGGAAGTGACCATACACAAAACCTAGTTTACTCATAGCAGAAAGAACTAAAGGATTGGTATGCTGAAACAATTCAAATAAACAACTTCAATAATTTCAATAATACAGCTGTTTGAAACATTACATCTAAAAGACTGATTTTAACTTAAAGTTTTAAACAAAACTACATAACTCCTTACTTTCAAGATTTCTTTCCTTACACATGACTTATTTATTACCACCAACTTTATAAACCTATTTCATAACCTATAATATAACCTCAATGAAATTTTGTACGTACTGCCTTGTGTTTTTTTTTTCCTGAGCTTCAAAAATCCTGGATTTATCTGCTTCTTCCGTTCCCTTTTCTTCTACCGTACGGTAGTTTTGCTCATGTTACAACAACACTAACTTTCACTTTCCCTACGTAACAAGACCAGAAGGCGGTGCTAACACTGTCACAGTTCGTGATTGGATGATTAGCTGAGGAAAAAACCCCACACAATGAGGCATGAGCTGAAGACAAGCACAACGGACTAAATGGGACCAGAGCCAGGAGAAACATTCAGGTGAAACCTATGCAAATTTACAGAAGGATCCAGGAAGTACTGCATGAAATGAAATGTGCTGAGTAATCCTTGGTTTTTATACAAAGCACTAAGAATGGACTACTTCAAACATCATCCTCTAGGAGCACTGACAATAATAGAACATGTGCAGTACATCTGAATGGTGATATTTGCTCTCTCCCCAAGAATTACAATATCTAGCATTAAAAGTTATCAGTCACAGGATAATCTGTAAAGGATTTTTCCTTATTAACGTTATAAGGGGATACAACTTGCTTAGGCAGAACTGTCAATTTTCCCCACACAGAGTACAGGTGTAACAAAATTACGAAAAAAATTAACCATAACCAGAAATCTACATGATAGGAAAGTACTGTATTTGAACTTTTCAGTGCTATGCAACACACACAGCTTGTTTATTCTTTTGAAATAGAAGAGCATATGTACCCATATTATAAGTACTAGTTTTGTTCTCTGCTACCCTGTGCGTTAACCATTCTAGGAGATGCAAGTCAAAAGTTCAGGTTCAATACTTTCATTGTATAAGCTCAAATTTCTTGCAACACGCTGTGATGGCAATAAAGACATATACAATACACACATACAACTTAAATCCAATAACAGAATGCTTCCATCCAACACACTCACACACTATCCAAAACACACACCACTAACAGAATCAATAACAGTGAGATAAATCACAGTGAGTAGCAGGGACTCCAAAAGATGAAAGTGTGATCGTATGAGGTTCTGGAACATTACTGGAACAAAGCTGTTTGTTGATTTGCATTTCCCACATTCCATTGTTTCCCCAAGGTCACTACAGAAGGACAGAAACATGCTGTGTTTGGCATTCCTTAACACTTTAAACACTTCTCGGCCAAATCTTTTGAGAGATGCCAGAAAATTAAAAAAAAAAAAAACAATAAAGCAAATACTTACCTAATTGTTTCTCTGGTCTCGTTAGATTTATATTCTGAAAGGCCTTCTTCTTTATCTTTACCTAAAAAGTAGGACCAGATATCTTTTAGAGTCTTGCGGAGCACGCCGGAAATCTGTGAGAAACACCTATAGGGAAAATAACTGAGCATATCGGTTTGTGGAT